TGGAGTAGGAATTCCCAGAGAACCTTTTGTTCTCTTTCTTTTTTTTGGTATATAATAAATATTGTTGCTTATTATTATTCATGACAGAGTGTGTGTGTGAGAGAGAGAAAGAAGCAACCTCCACAGGGTTCCATCACACTGCAATCCTCTTCGTCCAATCCAGTTCCTCAGGATCTTGGATGCCTGTGTTGGTGCACTGTGTGTTTCAGTCTGCTCAGCTGGGGATCCCAACCAGTGGTCAGTCATGTGGATTCCAGCACTACAGTCCAGCTTGCTACCAACTGTGCCACCTAGGCTAGGCCCTCCCTCTTTTTATATCTGGTGTTTTTTGAAGAATAACATCCCAGCACAGGTGTCTCCTGCCATAGGTTCAGGATCCCCCCATGGTGACTTTGAAAGCCCCTGATGCCCTTTCCATAGACTGGCTGAGCTGGGAGGGAAGCCATAACTACAATTCTAGGCTCACCTCGTGGAATACATTCCTGGTACCTGAGAGGGCTTTTCTAAGACCAAGGGGCTATGCAGTTGCGAAGCCAGTGGTTCACACCTTGGCTCTGTCAGTTATAATCACAGCTATTGTTTAGTGACACAAACTATGTGCAAGATTCTATTGTAAGCTCTTTACATATATTGCCTCACAGTTAGCTGTGAGAATATAAGGAAGCCACAATCTCTCTGAATCCACTCATTAAATGGGATATCTATTTCACAACATTATAGAAAGATAAAAATATAAAGCCACACTTCTTAAATATTAATGTACATATGAATCACCTGGGAACCTGGATTTTTTAAATTTTTATTTATTTATTTATTTATCTTAGTTTGTTACAGGACATGTGTGCTTGCCAGAAAGAGAAAGTGAGAAATCTGCTGGCCCCGGGCATCACAATTTATTGCTGCACCATCTGGCGCTTAGGTCCTTCTTTTGTCATGTATCAGCTGAGTGAATTTGGAAACAAGGATTCTCCTCAATGTCTAGGGCATTTAAAGACTCCTCTTGGGACCAACAGTTAGCATAATGGCTATGTCGCTGGACTCCCACGAAGTCGACCTCGGTTCAAGTCCCGGACCCAGTGGCTTAAAACTCAAGCTGGGCACATGTGCGTGCATGCCCAAGATCCCGAGAGGAGAATGGAGGGGAAGGGATTGCAGCATGGCCATCCCCTCTGGGGGTGATTTCTCGCTTTCTGTCTATCTCTCTCTGTCTGTCTGGCGACCGCATGCACCCTATAGCAAAAACCTCTCCAAAAAAAGAAAAAAGAAAGACGACAAAAACCTCTCCAAAAAAAGAAAACAGAAAACCTCCTCTTGAACTGGGATCTAGACCCAGGCTGTGCAAGGTTTCTCAGCTTGTAAAGTGCCCCTTTTTCAGAAAGGCAGGGGCAGGGTGTAAAAGCACAAATGCTGGAGTCAAATAGATGTGTTTTGAATCCCGATTATGCACTTACTAGCTCTGTGACTTTCAATAAGTGACTTAAAATCCATGGGCCATACTTTCTTTGAGCACAAAAGGTGATAGTAAAAATGTATGTTTTCTGTAGCTATATAAAGCTAATAGCAGTGTCTGGCATGCAATTGTGCCCTGTAAGCAGTAAGTGATTTTTGTTAAAATTTTGGGGCTGATCTCAGACCAATGGCTTAACAACACAGGCTATACTGGAGGTCAAAAGGGAGCAGAACGTGGGTGCCCCCACATGGTGTGTGCATTAACTGCAAGGACAATGCCTTACGTCAATATCAGTGCCGTCCCGTGAGCCTGTGTGGTCAGTAAGTGATGCTCTGCCTCACATCATTTCTGTGGCTTTGGGCAAGTTTTCTCAATGGTGGGAGAAGAGGGCTTCTCTGAGCCCCCTCATGATCTGTAAATGAGTCAGGCATGGTATCCCAACCCAGACTTTTTCTAAGCAGGATTCAGGTTTTCTTTCTGTACCATTCAACTCTCCCAAGCCAGCCTCAAGAAAGCTTACTGATACTGGCTTCCAAAATTCTTAGCAGCTAGTCTCCTGTAACCCACTGTATCGCCATAGAGCCCAGACCTGTGCCCCTTAAAAGGAGGAAGTTAGCAGAAATTCCCCAGCACTATCTAAGGATGACGGTGCAGCTAGCAAGATTTTAGGCCGTAGGACCTTCTTGACAGCTGTACTGGGCCTGTTCAGTTGCTTGATTTCATAGCTAAACAGGAAGATTTACTCTGAGCCCAACTTGTTCCTCCAAACACCAGGACATGCTGACAGAGTTGACCTTGTCAGAGTGACAAACAAGTAGCCTTGCAGCTAAACCAGAGCCTTAGAGCCAGGGTTCTAAACCTGGGATATATGGCGTAGCTTCCTGAGTTCATAAAACTCCTAAAATGGTGAGTGGTTTGCAAAATCCCAAGTAATGTATCTTTCTGGGGAAAATAGGCATAACTTTTGTACATTTTCAGAAGTCTATGGAAGAAATGTGTAGGGAGCCTTGGAGGTGTTCCAGTATGCAGCTGTAGCCTTAAAGCAGTCAGGTAATGAGAGAAGTTATCACAGTTGTCAGATGGATTTAAGGAAATACTGACCATGAGACTGACAGGTAATGTGGTGGTTAAGGACGCTGAACTCTCACATGGCTGAAGGAGGTTCGAGTCCTGGACCTGGCAACTTGCTTTCTCGCTTTCTCCAATACTCCCTCCCTCCCCACTCTCTCCCTCTCTGGTCAAATTGAAATAAATAAAATAATTCTTAAAAAAAAAAAGAAAGAAAGAAAAGAAAAAGGAAAACACTGACCTAAGCATGCTAGCCTCTTCGGTGGAGCAACTACGGAAGACCTGAAAATGTTCCCTACCAGCTGCCTCTCCTGGGATTCATTTTCAGAGCCAACAGGCCATTCTTCCTTTGAAGGGACATTTAGAATCAAGACTAGTGGGCCAACCCTGTAGCCTAGTGGTTAAGGGAGCTGGATCCCACATAACCAACCACAGTTCAAATAGTGGCCCTGACAGCTTAAAAATCTCACCAGGTGTATGTGCAGGCACGCCCCAAATCCTAACAAGAAAATGGAAAGGAAATTGTTAACGTGAGCCTTCCTCACTAGGGGGTGCTTTCTCTCTGTCCCTTTCCTTGTCCCTCTGGTAGAGCATGCACCTTTAGCAATGATAAATAAGGGTATAAATGGCCCCAGCTAACCAACAGGTTTGACAAAAGCCAGGTGAGAGGTAGAACATCACCACAAACAGTTGAGTGGAAGGTTTTGCTCATCCAGATCTTACTGCATGGGTGCTGAATCAGAGGGTGGCCTAGGAGCACTGCTCCCCACCTCACATACTTTAAGATGAAGCAGTTAAGCACTCCTGTGGCCAAAGAAAGAGGGAGAATGTCAGTGCCTTTTCCCCTTTACTTTTATTTTACATATTTTTGCTATAGGGAATATATGCTTGCCAGAGAGAGACAAAGAGAGGAAAGTGAGAAGTCACCTCAGCATGCAGACGGCCACACTGCATTCCCTTCTCTTCCATTCCCTTCAGAATTTGAGGCAGACATGTACACGCACCCAACAATTTTTAAAGCCACTGAGTCTAGGACTCGAACCACAAAGTTGGCCAGGTGGGATCCAGTCACCCCAACCACCACGTCATTGGCTGACCTATCTTTTCCATTGATACAGAACACAATCTGTACCTTCAGACACCTACCTGGATCAAACCATAAAGGAAAAGTAGAAGATAGCAGGAGTTCCTCGGGGCCACCCTCCAAGATGCTTCTTAAATTGGGAGGGCTTGGAGAGATCATTTACCCTTCAGGTAAATGCAGCCTTAGCTCAACCTTGGCTGCAGTGGGAGAGCTCTAAAAATGTTTCCATTTGAGCTGGCAGGTGGCATGGTGGTTAAGGTGCCAGATTCCCACATGGTTGACCATGGTTCAAGTCCCAGACTTGGCAGCTTGCTTTCGCACTCACCCTGTCTCTCTCTGGTCAAATTAAAGAATTAATAATAATACACAAATAAAATAAACAATTCTTAAAAGTTCCCACTCACTAAGCGACAACTGCTAGACCACCAAGAACTTCCATTAATGTTGGTCCGACCCTCTCCTAGGAAGCTAAATCCCAGCTGTGACCTGTCCAAGGTCTCATGTGGGTCAGTATCAGAACTGGGAGGATAAGTGTTCGCTTCATCAACCACCACCACCTGCATAGGGAGTTGAGTGCCGCAAAGGAAAGACGGGAGCAAGCAGGTTCTAGAAGCCTCTAGTGGCTCACTGCAGAGGTCTCCGTGGCTCAGTTTCCCCCTGAAAGACAGTAGCATTGAAGTAAAGACGTCTAAGGGAGGAGAAAGGAATACAGATAAATTTATTAGTTAAATACTGATTTTACAGCCATTTCACCTTAAGACAATGTTAACAGGTTTGTGGTTTAGGGAAAGTATATGAGGTGGCCTTCAGGAAGAAAACAATGTAAATGATGATTAAAACAGAATCTTGGTTTAAAGATATTATCTGCTACAACCAGTAGGATTTGGGGGAGAGGCTGGGTGTTTTGGGGTAGGACACAGTAATGCCACAGTCAGCTACAGCTCTGTTGACAACTGAGCCCCGGCAGAGCAGGTGGAAACCGAGCCACAACGTGCAGAAGAGGGAGCGGCAACTGCAGAACAGCTGAGAGCTCTCGGAGTTGGGGTTTCCCTCGAGGCCCGCCCGCAGTGTCTTCTATCAGTCCTCTTCGTTCTTTCCATGAGTTTAGTTTCATTGTGCTTATTTGCTTTGAATATCTGTCTTAGAACCCCTGGTTTTTGCATCTCCTGGACAAAACATTTCTGCCCAGGAAAGGATGCAGGTCCAGGTGCTCCACACCCCTCAGGTAGCCTCAGGCTGCTATCTGCCCAAAAGGCCCATGTCCACAGAAAGACCAGAGAACAAGTCAGCTGGAGTCCCCAGGAAGCCTCCTGACCCCCAGCCAGGGCAGGGTCCACAAGACACTCTTCAGAAGGATCTCGAGCTTAGATGAATGTTTGCCAAAGTTGCTTTAGCAGCGGAACAATTTTGTTCTTACTCAGAATGCCCCTGTGGGTGATGGGGTGAATGGGGCATGTTGGGGGGTAGACTTAAGGGGGTGCTGTTTGGCTAGACTACCGAGCTTTTTGCCGAGGGAGAGACATGTACAAGCAAGGGCAGAGCTGAATCCCCCACAACAGCAGAAGAGGTCTAATTTTGAGAGGCCTCCTGAGTAAGGGAGCTAAAGTAGAAGGCCTTTAGCAGGGGAGGGACTTGGGGAGGTGGAGTTGGGGGGCTGTGATGTTGTGTGGTGGGCGAAGTAGCCCTCTCCTCCTCTTCCCCAGGAAGCGTCTGGTAACATCTGCGTTACATCCGCTCTTCTTGGAGTCAGATTTGGTATCGGGGGATGCAGGCATGTGCCATGGCTCAGGGAGTGTTGGGCAAGGGCAGGGGCTGCCTGAAGGGCCTTCCAATACAGGTCAAACAGATGCCCTTGTTTAGGCCGGAGCAGGGGTCCCAGAGCCTGCCCCTCACCGCCCTCAGATCTCCGGAGCTGGGAGCACAAAGGAAGAATGAGCATCTTGGGCCAAAGTGGAAGAAAACAAAGATGGACATCTTGTCTCTTGTCAGCGATAGGGCAGGGAGAATGAGCAAGGAGCTCCAAGGCTTGAGCAACTGAGTGTGCACGCGGTAGAGGGTAGGTGCTTCTGAGTCAGGGCTGTTTCCAGTCCTCCCACCTTGCAAAGGCATCCGAGAAAACCCATATCACATCCCCTAACCCAACTGCCGACTTCAAGTTTCTTCCCAGTTGTTCTTCTGGAGTCATTCCCAGGCAGTGGAGGCTGGTTTTGGGGAGCCGGAGGCTCTCTCTCTGCTGTCCTCCAAGTCCCAGGTCCATGAAGGAATATGAGGAGGGAAGGAGGGGAGATTATGCAGTGATTATGTCCCCATGGCTCTCAGCCAAGACCAGGCTGTTCCAAGAGTCCTGCTTGGAGCCTGCCTGCGGTGACTGGCTGACAGGAGATGCATAGCCTTGTGGGGAGAGCTTCAGGGCCGAGAGGACCGGGTGGATGGAGGGCCCGTGGCTAGACATCGCGCTGACTGAGAATGTCTGAAAAGCAGAAAGTGCATGATGAGGCAAATAGAACCATTTCTGAGGGCTGAGTGCTCTAGAGGTTTGGGCTGGGGAGGGGAGCCCCTCTGCAGATGTCCCGAGATGTCCCACCTTTAGGGAAGCACAGGGCTAGGGACCAAGGGGGCACTGCTCTCTGTTTTTCCTAATCCCTGGGGTCTGAGTGCAGAGGATCTGGTGACATGACAGCTGCTCTCGAGCAAAGTGTGCAACCAGGGCTGTGACGGGGGTGGGGTTGTGAAGAATGGCTCCAGAAGGCCCCCAGGGCTACAGGAGACATCTTCCACACTCTCAGCACCATCTCTACTTTCAGAGAAGCCATCCTCCAGCCACGAGGGGCTCCTGGCACTGCTGATTCTATGGGACCAGGTTTACCAGGCCTTGTTCAGTTAAGTACAGAGGAAAGATCAGAGTGTGGTCAATAAAGGGAGACTATTACCAAGCTTGGAGCAGCATGATTCCAAGGGAGGGGAACTGCAGAAGGAAGGATGTCAGAGGCAGGGGTGCCAAGGGCACTGCTGGGCTGTCTCCTAACACTCACACCTCTGAAGCTGGATCTCATGAAAACAGCATCCTGCCTGTGCCCTCCAGACCAACCGTGTACCCACCCACCCACCCTCTGCAGTTTCCACATCTTTGTCCAAACCAGCAAGGTCCTCCTTCCCCCACCTTTCTGTTAAATCCTTCAAGGCTAAGGGCTTAGGAGACAGGCTTACTTAGAAAGCCCCATCCCCCACCCCTCCACAGTCAGCTGTACCATGGCCTCCCTCACCCAGCCTCTCTCCCTTGGCCTCCCTCACCCTGAGGTACAGCCTGGTGCAGCTCATCTTCCTCCCCTCCTGCTGTGTGCCAGCCCCAGACTCCTCTCCTGGCCACCAGAGGTGTGGAGGAGCTGCTAAGTGTTCCTATGTCCCAGTTGTGTGTCCAAACCACTGGACGAGCTGAACGACAGCCTGTCAGATACCCAAGCCTCAGGAGGGCCCCGAGGGCACCATGCATCTCAGAGGCCAAAGCTTTTGGGCTCACAGGGGCAGCTCCTCACTTGCCATCTGCAGGAGTCTGACTGCAACTCACACTCTACCATTCCAATGCCAGTCTGGCCACCTCGGACTCTGCAGTTGTCACCCTTGCCCACAGGCATACCTGAGACATGGAGCTGCTGTGCCCATAGTGAGACGACAGCCCGGGCTCTGTCTTGATGGGGCGCATCTCTTCGCTGCTGCTGCTGGTGGCGTTGCTGGGGTTGCTGGAAGCACTGCTGGTGGGAGGAAGGCTCTCACTGCCGGAAGGACCTGAAACAAGGCAGACTCAGGACATCCAGACAAAGGGCAGAGACAAAGGGATGGCAGCCCTTTGAGCATGCTAAGGCTCTGTTTACAGCTCTATTTACATTTGTAGGGAGAGAAGCAGGGCTCCTATCAGTGGAGAGCAACAGTTCTCAAACTAGGGCAGAAGTACCAGACAAAAGCCCAAGGAGACTTTCTCACATGACCAGCTCAACCCCTCCCCTACGCATGCCAAACCCTTGAGGCCACATTTGTGTCTGAGTTCAAAACTATTTGGGTTTTTTAAAGTGCAAATTCCCTGTACTACAGAATCCAACCAGCAGAGTCTGGGGCAATACCCTGTAATTAAATAGGTTAATATCTTTACAGCAAAATGTGACTATTCATACTACTTGGAGTAAGTAGGGTCTGTGGAGATTTGCTGTTGCTGCATATTTAGTGTCCTGCATTTGAAACATTGGATATAGGACTGAATGCCTGGGCCTGCTCTTCCTGAAACCACTACATGTGAGGAAATGAGGTTACCAGGGGATGTGCCATGCCGTAAAGTGCAGAAGCAGGAAGGAAGGGAGAAATCGTAAGACATGTGCCTGCTGGAGGGGTGAATGCGCTGTTGTTGAGTCTAGAAAAGTAGATCTTCGAGCATGTTCTTGGCAGTGGAAAGGGACAGCTAATCTGACTTGGTCAGGCCTTATATTAAAAGGATCCTGGTGCACTTGCCAGAGATAGACAGAGAAACAGAGGAAGGAAAGTGAGAAATCACCCCCCGGGGGTTGGCCACACCACCATCCTATTGCCTCCATTCTCTTCTTGGGATTTTGGGCATGCACGCATGTTTGCCTGCTAGGATTTTCAAGCCACTGGGTCCAGGACTGGACCTTCAGTTGCCCATGTGGGAGTCCATCACCTTAACCATGACGCCACCTGCTGGCCTTCACCAGTCAAATCTTTCATTTGGTAGCAGTACTGAGTAGGGGAGGCTCTTGGTAGGGACATTAGTAGCCCTCATTCTTAATCTAGAAATTAAAAAGGAAAAATAGTATCCTGAACATAGTATTGACCCCAAAGCATAAAATGTAGGGTATTAATTCCTGTTCTGTCCATAAATAGTTGTATGACTCTGCGTAAGTCATTGTCCTCTCTGAGCCTCAGTCTGTTTGTTACTAAAATGAGGAAAAGAAACTGTTTTTCATATGGTCTTGTAAAGATCAAAATATTTATGAAGGGGCTTTCTAAAGTACTAAGTCCTACATGATGTTAATTAGTCATTGGCTCACAGATCAATTAGGGAACAGGATGAGGGAACAGGATGAATGTGACTCTCTTCTTCTAGGTCCCAATTAGTTTAGAGATTGAGAATAAGTGAGCCTTTGGTCGTCTGGGCATCACAGACAGAGGACCAAGTAAAGTTCCTTTTTCCTTCAGGCCCTCAACCTGTCCACCTTGATCTGCTGTGGTTTTTGCAGTCGGCAATAATGCAGCCATAGCTGGAGCTAAGCCTGCTTCAAAAGTCCCCACAATGTTCCATGGTGATGTGATTTTTAACACTTTAAAAGAAAAAAAAATTTTTTTTGAGAGAGAGATTGTGCTATAGGGCACATGCACTCGCCAGAGAGACAGACAGAGTGACAGAGACGGAAAGCGAGAAATCACCCCCCAGGGGGCATGGCTACACTGCAATCCCTTCTCTCCATTCTCTTCAGGATCTTGGGCACACATGCACACGTGTGCATGAGTTTTAAGTCACTGAATCCAGGACTCGAACCATGGTTGACTACATGGGAGTCCAGCCATGTAACCATTATGCCATCAGTTGGTCCCACTTTTTAAAATAATTTGCTACTGTGCACCCACTGGAGAGAGACAGGAAAGTTGAAAAAGCACCCCCCAGGAGAGATGACCATACTGCAATCCCTTCTCCTCTCAGGATTTTAGGCTTGCACACACAAGTCCAGCTTTTCTTTTCAAACCACCAGGTCCAGGATTCAAACTGCGTAATTAGTCATGTGGAATCCTGCTGCCTTCACCACCACACCACCCGCTGGTTATCACCAGGTTATTTCATCTATCCTTAATCTGTACAATTACACACTGATCTTTTCCTCACCTGCTGTTGTCTTAGATTTATTAAGGTTCTTGGGCTTCCGTTTTCTGGTTTGAATCCCTTCTTTCCGCATTGCAAGAGGCCTGGGGACCTAGAGGATTACAAATCAATATATATGGATTTTCAATTGTACATAATCTGCTATAGTACTGAAATACGCATGCATGCACTGTGAGAAGGTGAGATCTAAGCAATCCCTCTGTAAGCCTTGGGGCTCAGAAGGCAATCGATTCTACTGAGCATCTATGACATATGGTGACTATTTTACTAGATCCTGAAGAAGGAAATAATTGAAGACATAGCCTTTTCCCTCACACATTCACAGTTTCCTGGGACAGACAGACAAGTAGTGATAATCAGACTCTGTTAGGTGATACTGGAAAACAAAAAAGATATACTAAACTCTCTCCTGGGTTTGAACAAGAGGATACCAAGGAGGGCTTCACTGAGGAGGAGATACCAGAGTTGTAAGAGGTTGTCAAGTAGATGAAGGGCAGGCATTTCTGCCAGCAGAAACTGTGGGCAAAATCCTTTGTCATCTAAACCAGGACAATGTGAAAATAGAAAGGGGGCACTGTTAATAATTATACAGGGAAACAGGCACACACCGGACAGTCCCAGTGACCCGTCCATCTGCTTATAGCAGCTCTGCACTGCATGAGTCCAGCTGGTGGGGAGCAGCAAGGCTAGAGAGACTGCTCTGTGGCCAGGTCCAGAGATAAACTGTGTGCAGACAATACCTTTACCACAGCTGCTTCTCAAAAATCAGCAGTGAGTGACAGGCCTTGAGCCATTCACAAATGCCTAAGGACATCCTGGGGAGCAGGTAGTCTTTCCAGTCATTTGAGATACTGTGCCTTCTCCACATCAAGCTTCTGTAAGGCCAGGCTGAATCTTTTTTAGAGAGAGATTTTTGGTACAGGGCATGTGTACTTGCCAGAGAGACAGAAAGTGAGAAATCACCCCCCAGGGGAGGATGGCCATGCTGCAATCCCTTCTCCATTCTCCTCTCATGATCTTGGGCATGCAAATACATGTTCCCAGTGTGAGTTTCAAGCTGCCGGGTCTGGGACTTGAACTATGATCAACTATGTGGGAGTCCAGTGGCCTAACCATTAGGCCATTTGCTGATCCCCAGGTTGAACCTTTGAGTGTCTGGTTTATTCTGTGCTCTTCTTCCCTGTGAGACTAATAAAAGTCACATCTGAAAATAGGGGGAAAAACTGCTTCAGAGACCTGAACATGGAACTTTAAAAAGAGAAACACAGGGCCAGCAGGTAGCACTTTCTCTCTCTCTCTCTCATGAGCATCTGTGCCCTACAGCAAATTAAATAATAATAATAATACATAAAAATAAATATTCTTTAAAAGAGAGAGACATACAACAGCATTCGTGACCTTGAACTTGGCTGCTACTCCTTCCTGGGTCAGATGCAGCATCCCCACCACCCATCATCTCTCAGTGGCTCCATCTTCTCCCACCTTTGAAGGATGGTGCCCTCTCCCTCTCCCATCTCTCACCTCTGGCCCCCTTGAAACCCATTCTGACTTCAGAAGAATCTTTTTATTCAACAACAGGCAGCATGTGTGCGTGCACAAGAGAGAGAGAAAGCACCCTCGGCAGTCTTGTCACACGCAGTCCCCTTCTCCCAGCCCTCCAGCCTCGAGCCTGGGCACCTGCACGTGTGTTCGGTATGTTTTGCAGAGTGACCTAGGATCTGGCTCCTGGTTACCATATGCATCTAGCAGTGTAGGGTGCTAGTGTCACTGGTGCCTCACCACTCGGGCCACTTCAGAATCTTGCTCTCATGTTGATCCCCATTCAGTTGACAACACACTTTTGTTTCAACTGTAGTAAAACACACATGACATAAAATTGGCCACCTTAACCATCTGGAAGTACACCATTCTCTAGAGTCTAGCATGTTCACGCTGTCCTGCAACCTTTAGCACCGTCCAGCTTCAGAGCACTTCTCATCACGTAACATTAAACGCTGCACCCTCTAAACACTAACTCCTCATTCTAACCATCCTCAGTGCTTTACAGAAGTGGAATCATATAGAAATGTCTTTTCATGGCTGGCTTATTTCATTTAACAGAATGTCTTAAAGTTTAGCCATGTCATGGCATGGGCCAGAATTTCCTTCCTTTTTAAGCTTCAATACTTTCCACTGGGCATATACCACATTTTATTGATCCATCCACCTATTTGTCTTCATTTTAATTTTGCCATACATAGGGATGTGTACTTGCCAGAGATAGAGAGAGGGAAAGTGAGAAATCACCCTCCCAGGGGGATGGCCACACCACAATCCCTTCTCTTCCATTGTCTTGGGATTTTGAGCACAAATGCACATACACCTGGCATGTTTTTCAAGTCACCAGGTCCAAGACTTGAACCACACAGTTGGCCATGTGGGATCCAGCACCTTATCCACCAGTTGGTCTCTCCATTCATCTGTAGATGAACACTTAAGTTGTTTCCTTGGGTTAGTTACTGTGAATCATGCTGTCATAAACGTGAGTGTGCAAATATCCCAAGACCCTGCCTTTAGTTCTTTGAATATATACCCAGAAGTAGTATTGCTGAATCACATGGTAATTCTATCCCTGATTTTTTTAAAGAATTATTTATTTTTATTATTTATTCATTCATTTTTAAAATTTGACCAGAGAGAGACAGAACGAGAGAGGAAGTGAAAAAGAAGCCACCAAGTCCAGGGCTCGAACCATGTTGGCCAAGTGGGAGTGTCTAGCACCTTAACCACCACGCCACCTGCTGGTCCCAGTATCCCTGATTTTTTGAGGACACATTATTATTTTTTCTGTCTTTCTTTCCTTCTTTTTTGGAGAGGTTTTTGCTATAGCCCACGTGTGCGCTCGCCAGAAAGACAGAGAGAGACAGAAAGCAAGAAATCGCCCCCAGGGGGGATGGCCATGCTGCAATCCCTTCTCCTCCATTCTCCTCTCGGGATCTTGGGCACACACGCACATGTGCCCAGTGTGAGTTTAAGCCACTGGGTCTGGGACGAGAACTGTGGTCAACTACATGAGAGTCCAGCAACATAGCCATTACGCTAACTGCTGGTCCCGCGGACACATTATTTTTAATGTCTTCATAATATTGCCCTGTACGTTCTTTTAGCACCTCCCCCTATGAAGAACATTCTTTAAACATTTTCCTCCCAAATTTTTTCTAAATTTTCATTACTATGGTGATTTAACAAATATACTTGTAGTATACACTTCTTTGAATAGAAGCATGTCTGCTTTTTAATGTATGCTTAGCCATTTTTTTATTATATAAGAAACCATGAAAAGGCGTATGAGGTTAAGTTAATAACAAGCCCTCCCACTTCACAACCATCAATCCTATCCACATGAGGCAACTGGATTTAATAACCTGTTATGTATTCTTAGTTTTCAAAAATTCTCATTTATGTACCTGTACATATATATGCATGTGGGTATGTGCATACCCATTCATCCATCCATTTACATGTGTCCACATTAATATAACCTCATCCTCCTAATATTTTCTTCTAGTATTTGTATTGTATTTATTTCATAGCCTGGTATTTTCATTGTAGTATTTTATTGTCTGGTATTTTTATTTTATTTTTAAAGTGCTTTACAACTTAATGTCTTGGTCTCATCTAAGTTTTTTAAAATTTTATTTATTTAATTTATTTTTATTATTATTATTATTTATTCATTTGACCATAGTGAGACAGAGAGAGAGAGGGAGGGAGGGAAAGTGAGAAAGTAAGATGCCAAGTCTGAGACTGGAACCGTAGTTGGCCATTTGGCAGTCCAGCACCCTAACCACCACACCACCTGCTGGCCCTCATTTTTACTTATGTTATTCATGATTATGAGTGCATAAGAAAGAGAAAAAAACACTCTGGACAGCATCTCAACATGCTGCAATCCCTTTCCCTGGCCTTCCAGTTCATCAGGATCTTGGGCATGCATCTAGCATGAAATTCACCTAAGGTTATTTTTGTTTAAGGTAGGAGATGGAGTTATACTTTGTTTTTGTTTTCCAGATGAACAGCGAATTATGTCAACACAATTATTTTTAAATGAGCTCTTGTTTTATCTATTGAATCAAAATGTCATTTTTGTTACATGTGTATCATGCTGCTGTATACTACATGTATATAGAGTTTCCTCATCTGTAAAATGGGAATTAAACTCGTACAATGTTAAATACAGGAAAGGCCAGCAGTCATTAAGATTCCCTTCCAAATCTAAGAATCTTTGTTAAGAAAAGAAAAATGAATTCTAGTGGGAAGGGAAGAATACAAGAACTGAGCAATGGGAAAGAGCATGGACTCCCTGCCTGGTGGGAGCTAGGGGTGTAGCAGGGGCCCAGGACACACTTACCCCATGGAGCTTCATGTAGAGGCCACAGGCATTGCACACGGGCTCACCCTCGGCATTGCGGCGCCAGAGTGTGGTGGTGGTCGTCTGGCAATTGGCACAGGAGAGGCCCACTCGGCGGGAGGCAGACTGCAATTCAGGAAGTAGACCCTTTAAGTCCCAGAGAAAGCAGGAGCTCTGCTTCTACTGCACCAGGAGGGGTGGCAAGATTAGGGCCCAAAAGCCCTGAGTGAGATCTCAGGCCAGTCACAGCACCCGATTCTCCCTATGGTACCTCAGCGTGAGGAGACAACACTTCCACTGCAAGAGAAGGAGAGTGAATTCTACCAGTGAAGACCTGGATTTCTGGTACTAACTGTTGTGCATTGACAGGAAAATAACCCAGCAAACACTGGGTACTGAAGGCAGAAATCCTTGTCTCCAGAGTAGAATTAGTGTTGGCTTCGGGTGCGAGGTACACTGAGGGGAGAGCTATGATTATATCCAAATGGTAACAGACTGTATGGCCTTGGGACCTAAAAAAAGGGAAACATGGGACCAGCAGATGGCGTAACAGTTAGGTCATTGGACTCCCATATGGCCCACCACGGTTCGAGTCCTAGACCCAGAGGCTTGAAACTCAACACCAGGTGTGTGTGCATGCATGTCCAAAATCCCAGGAAGAGAATGGAAAAGGGATTACGGTGTGTGGCCATCCTCCCTGGGAGGTGGTTTCTCTCTTTCTGTCTTTCTATTTCTCTGGCAACCACATATGCCCTATGGCAAAAATCTTCCTTAAAAAAATAAGTGGGGGAGGGGGAACATTTAGGATTTGTCCCCTCTGCTCCCTTAACATAAACCAAAGCTCTCCTAATCTACATAAAAGTTAGTTGGTATTACTCAAACTCTAGTTATGTTTAAAAAGAGCATGGAACCATAAGTCCAGAATCTAAGTCCCAGTCCCAAGGTCTTTTCCAGCCAAGGCCCCAACACAAGCTGTTTAACCTTCCTGGGATTTGGGTTTTATCAACTGATGAATTGAAAACAGTGAAATAAGATCTCTGGGTTAACTTTCCTTGTAGGGCTGATGGAAATAGAGAAGACCTTCAAGACAACCCTTAATTGGAACCAGGAAACCTAGATTCTGGTTCCATATGAGAGACTCAATCTCTGTGACTGTAGCTGAAGCCATTAGCTTTTTTCTTTCTTTCTTTCTTTCTTTCTTTCTTTCTTTCTTTCTTTCTTTCTTTCTTTCTTTTCTTTCTTTCTTTCTTTCTTTCTTTCTTTCTTTCTTTCTTTCTCTTTCTTTCTTTCTCTTTCTTTCTTTCCTTCCTTCTTTCCTTCCTTCCTTCCTTCCTTCCTTCTTTCTTTCCTTCCTTCTTTCTTTCTTTCTTTCTTTCTTTCTTTCTTTCTTTCTTTCTTTTCTTTCTTTCTTTCTTTCTTTCTTTCTTTCTTTCTTTCTTTCTTTCTCTTTCTTTCTTTCTTTCTTTCTTTCTTTCTTTCTTTCTTTCTTTCTTTCTTTCTTTCTTTCTCTTTTTCTTTTTTTTTTTTAAGGAGAGATTTTTGCCATAGGGTACATGTACTTGCCAGAGAGAGAAAGAGAGACAGAAAGCGAGAAATCACCCCCCCCAGGGGGGTTGATCACTCTGCAATCCCTTCTCCTCCACTCTCCTTTTGGGATTTTGGGCACACACGCACATGTGCCTGGCATGAGTTGTAAGCTGCCAGGTCTGAGACTCAACTGTGACTACCTGGGAGTACAGCGACATAACCATTACGCCATCTGCTGGTCCTGATGCCATTAGCTTCTGAATCTCACTTTTCACTTCTACACACTGAAGGGTAGAATAGGATAGCCGGGAACATCCTTACAGCTCGGACGACCTCTACAGGAGTGAGATGGCACTGTGTTGCTCCCACCCATCTACTTACTTCCCCCAACTCACAACCTAGAACTCCATTCAAAACCAGATGATTCAAGGTGAGAGCCCTGGAGCCAGAAGACAGAGGAAGAAAGGCGTGTACCCCCACCTCCCAGCTGCTGGACTAGGGCTACCGAGGCTCTCACTTACCAGCCGGCGCTGGGGCTTGATGAGGGGCCGGTTGATGCCATTCATCTTGTGGTAGAGGCCGCAGGCGTTGCACAGATAGTGACCAGTCCCGTCCCGCCTCCAGAGCGGGGTGGACATGGCCCCACAGTTGACACACTCTCTGCCCTCTGAGAAGTCATCGAACATGTCTACTGGGTGGGGGGAAACAGAGGAAAAAGATGCAGAGGATTGAGTCATTGTTTATCACCAGGAATCTTCCATCTTCTCAGAAATAATGCCCTTTCCTTGGAAAGGTAAGAAGGCCCCAGGGCTGTCCTCGCTCTTCCTCATTCTGACCTCAACCCCTGAGGCAGCAGCTCAGAGAACCACGATGAGAAATGGATGATGGGAAGTGGATGCTTTTACTCCTGACCATGGCAGACCCAGCAGGACTCCCCTGAGCCTGAGAAAAGGAAGAATGGACAGTGCTTACCAGCAGCCTGGGCTGCAGGGTGGGACATGCAGATCCATGCTCAGAGTCTACAGCCTGAGGCCCTCACCCAACACTGAGCTCTGCTCAGACCTTTCTCTTTTTCCCTCTCAACATTAAGATTATGTATTCCCTTAAATAAAAATATGGTAAATATAGTTGGTCTTCCATATCTGCAGGGTCCACATGGAAAACGTTCAATCCCTCCACTTCTCCACCCTGTCAGGATTTAGGGCATGTATTCCAGGCATTTTTCGAGCTGCCGAGGCTGGGATTTGAACTGATGTTAGGCATGTGGAATCTGGCTCCCTTTACCTACCACTGGAGGGCTGGCCCTACACCATTTTATATGAGAGACTTAAACATTCATGGATTTTGGTATCTTTGTGGGGTACTGGAATCAATCCCCCATGGATATCAAAGGATGACAGTATTTACTTCAGGAAAATTAGAAAGTACCAAAATGTGTAAAGAAAATACAGATTGTCACCACTCTTATGACCACCTTATTTTATTGTATCCTTTGCAAGACTTTCTATGCGGGTATATTATTTCTGCCTAATTGAGGTCAAGCTATATAATTTCGAACCTTTATTTTTGAGTAATACAAAAACAATTTCCCAGGCCAGCAGGTGGTGTGGTCGTTGAGGCACTGAACTCCCACATGTCTGGCGACAGTTCGAATCCCCGACCTGGTGGCTTGCTTTCTCACTTTCTCTCTCTCTGTCTCTGGTAAGCACCCTTGCCCTATACCAAATTTTATCGTAATAATAATAAATCATGTTTTATAAAAAAAAATTCCCACATTATCATTTCTTTTTAAACTAATTTTAGCATCATGTATATTCCATCACATAAACATTCCAAAATTTAAACACTATGATTTATTACTTTATCCACTTCCTGATCTTTGTTTTCTAAGTAGTGCTAGTCTCATATATAGATTTGTGTGTTTCCAGTTATTCCTTAGAATACTCCCTAAGAGTAGAATTTCAGAGTCAAAAGAACTAGATTTCTTTTTAAGTTTTTGTATTCTTTTTTATTTTCCTTTTTGAGAGATTTTTGCTATAGGGTGCATGCTGGAGTGACAGTAAGAGAGAAAGCAAGAAACACCCTCCAGGGTAATGGCCCTGCCTTATCCTCCTGGGATTCAGGGCACTCATGCACACGTGCCAAGTGTGAGTTCCAAGCCTCTGGGTCCAGGACTAGAACCGCAGTCGATCATCTGGGAGTCCAGTGCCTTAACCACTACACCACCTGCTAGCCCCAAGTTCTTCAAATTGCTCTGTACAAAAGACTTCAAAAGTTCATTTTTCTTCTCTTAAAATATCTGCACAGGGCCAGCTTGACAGCACAGTGGTCAAGTGCTGCATAGGAGCCAGGTCCCACATGGCCAATAGTGGTTCAAATCCCAGACCTAGGCACTTGAAAAACACATTGGGCATGTGTGCATGTGTGCCCCAAATCCTGATGAAATGGTGTAATGGACGGAAAAGGATTACAGGTTGACCACACCCCAGTAGGGGGCTAGCACTCTTGCTCTCACTGGCAAGTACATGTGCCCTCTGGCAATTAAAAAAAAATGTTTAAGATATCTGTATGAGACCAGCAGATGATATAAAGGTTATGTTGCTAGACTCCCATGTAGTCAACCACGGTTCGAGTCCTGGACCTAGTGGCTTAAAATTCATGCTGACTACATATATACGCATGCCAAAGATCCCAAGAGGAGAATGGAAGAGAAGAGACTGTGGCTTGGCCATCTCCCTAGGGGTTGATTTCTTGCTTTCTCGCTCTCTGTCTTTCTGGCGAGTACACATGCCCTACAGTGAAAATCTCTCTTAAACAAAAAAACAACTCTGTATGATCTGCTGGATCGAAGTTTGGGATTTTCTTGCTTATTGGCACATAAAATAAAAGGTACATATTGATAAGCAATGGCATCTTAGAGTTGATAAATCTGAAAGTTTATTACTCCACCAGAAGGTTGCTATCATTTGTCACTCTCCTTCACTTGCTCACCACCCTCCCACCCCCCATCTTCCACATCTGTAGAACTTACATTCCATTTGTGTCAGTTCTAATTGCCCTAGTGAGGTAGGCTGGACTGGTTTTCTTATTCTCTATGACCTACAGAAAACCTGTATCAGAACTTCTGACGTTTCTCTGACTCGACGCTATCCTAATTTTCTGTCTCTAAGCACAACTTCCTCGGTCTTCACATCTTGTCCTGCTGCGAGAGGCAAATGTAGATTCTTCTCCAGTGAAAAGGGGGAGATTTTCCGGGGGGAAGGGTGCACAGCTAAAGAGCTCTCCCTCCCTCAGAACTCAGCCCTGGGGTTTAAGGTTGGACATTTTGCTAATTCTGTGGCCCAGCTACCTGCTTCAAGGGAATGTAGGCTGGGCAGGAGGATGATGGGGGGCCCTCCCCTCCCAACTCTGGGTACACAAACAGTCATTTGCACCTGCAAACAGGTAGCTGTGTGTCCACACCAAGTAAACAATGTGCAGGTGTGATGGACTGTTTGCTCAGGCCAGAGCGCTGAGTACAGCAGTCACATGAGAGGCTATTTTTACACCTGGGTCACACAGAGCCCTCCACCAAGGTCACCTGCCTTCACAGTGGCACATGAAACAGAGACTCCCATCCACTGCCTGTTCCCACCTGGACCCCATCACCAACAGCATCTGGCCACCTCCACAGCCCCTGCCTGTGGCCTCTCAGCCACACCCCTTTGACCCAGACCTTCCCCACAGGTTACCAGCAAGGCCAAGAGTCCACACAGAAGGACCTTAGAGCAGTGGTCCCCAACTTTCCAGGCACCAGGGACTGGCCTTGTGAAAGAGAATCCCTCCACAGAAGGGAAAGTGCGGTGGGCCTAGGATGATCCAGGTGTACCACGTCCACTGTGTACCCCACCTCCGCCACTACCATGTTGCTGTGCAGAACGAAACACTCTTAACAGGGCTCGCATTCTCATGAGAATCTAATGCCAAAGGGATCCAACAGGAGAAGGAGCCCAGGCGCAATGAGAAGGATGCAGAGCTGCATACAGACAAGTCTCGTTGGTCCCAGGCCTCTGCCTGTGGCCCCAACTGTGCTGCCCCTCAGACCAGGACCAGTCCTCAGCTCAGGAGCTAGGGACCCCTGCCTCAGATTGGGCCAATACCAGCAGGAGAGCACCAGCAGTACAAGCTTGTGTTCACAAGGAACACTAGATGGCACTGCGGTCTCAAAATTGAACCAAGACACTGCATCCCAGCCTAGCGTGTGCCTGGGAATGGGAGAGTCCAAATCTTATTCTCTTTATTTATTGTGAGAAAAATTCAACACATTCAGAAGTAGACAATCTAAAAAACAACTCTTATTTAACCTCATCCAGCAATTCGCAGCCAATCTTTTCTCATTTATACCTCATCCATTTTCCACCTCAATATTGCTAAAGAAAATCTCAGACATCCTGTTTCATTTATAAATATCTCACCATGTTGCTCTTAACAGATAAAGATTCCTATCTTCGTTCAAAGAGAAGCAAACCAGCTTTCTTTCCTATATTCTGGTTCATTTAAACTCCACAGATAAAAATCTTAATCTGTTCCTCTTTTCTGGAGGGCAGATTCCCTTTTATCTTCACATTTATTATTTTATATACTGGGACAGAATCTTACTACGGGACTTAGCGGACCCTCGCGCTGGTTACTCCCACTCAGATGCCTTGAGAACCGAGTACAAAGGCTGCTTCAGAAACTCCTTCAGGCTTGCCTCAAAGAATGGGCTACTCATTCAAGCAACTGTTTTACTGTCCAGGGAAAGTCACTAAAGGTAGGCAAATACATGTATGCCATCAACAAACATTTACTGAGCATCTGCTATTTAAGCGCAATAACAGATGTCACAGAAGCTAAGAGGGAGCCTCGCTCTCAGAACGCTAATGATTAGGTTGGACAAACTAGACTGAATATCAATAATCAATATCAATATTCTTCAATCCATTTTCAGAACAGACCCTTATGGAGTTGGGGACTGGTGGCAGACACTAATTCCCTAGAGTAGGAAATGCACAAGTCTGATCCAGAGAAAAGGGTCAGGGTTACAATAGTGGCCAAAGGAAGGCTCTGGATGGGAGGTGAAGACCATGATTCCTCAAGGCTCCCAGTCAGCCATGCCCAGGTCTCCCCACTACTTGCAACACCTTCAAATCTGCAGAAGTTTTCATACGGTCTATCATAAAATCTTGCCATCTGACTGCTCAGTGAAATGGTACATGATTTTTTTTTTAATGTTATTACAAAGACAATATAACCATAAAGGAAAAGGCTTACCCCATAGAGTTTAATGAAAAGCACAGCACACAAAATACTACATACACCATAAAAGAAGCTAGGACTGCAGGAAGAAGCTTCTATTAGACTAGTTAAATCGTGTGGACAGACTCCTGCAATGGGGCCTAGCCGTGCCACAATTCTCTTTTCCTCCATTCCTTCATTCTATCAAGATCCTAGGCATGTCGGTGTTTTTCTTTTTCAAGTCACCAGGGCTGTCTGGGATCTGGTTCTCTCCACACAGCACTTAACTGCTACATTATGGGGCCCAGCCTGGACTTTTCTTTAAAAAGAAAGAAAGAAAATCCTCCTGCAATGTCAAAATTGCCTATTTCTACAAATCTGATAAAAACAAAAACAAAAATCTGATCACCCTAAGCAACTCTCGATTCACAATGGGAAAGGGATCTTTTTTTTTTTTACCCTATTGACCCATACATATTTTTGTCTCTTGAACTGAAGAACAGAGAGAACTTAGTTCAAATCCTGCTGCCTAGCACCTACTCCAAGGGCCAGTGGGGGGAGCTAGGCCCAAACCAACACTAACATCTGGTGTGAGCTTTCACAGGAGAGGCCCTGGGTGGGACTTCCAGAAGGAGGCCTGATTTCTAAAGCAGGAG